ATGATATTTCACAATAGCTGAATAATTATTCCATGAAGGTTTCATAACTTCATGGAATATTAATATTATATAACTTTTCTTCTTGTGAGTTCTAGAGAACTCCAGTTGCTTCTAAGCAACGTGGCGCAACCATGAGCGACATCTAGTTTCTTCATGGTGCGATCTCGTTTGCTTTGGGCGACATCTAGTCGACCCACGACAGCGTGTGCGAGATTGCATGGCGATCAGATTTACATGAAAAAATATTAATTTCGGGTGGTCTATACACAAATATGCACCCATTAAAATAATGGTTCCGCACGATGACCGTCTTTCAACCGCTGAGGATAAGTTTGAGGTGACATTAAACATACAACGAATGACTCGAAGAAGTTGAAGTAACCAGCATGTCATAAACTGAACCTGGAAACTTTTGCCTCCGTTCGAGTATAGCTCATCGTAAAAGCAACAATCACGTCAATCTTACCCCTAAGTTCAATTCTACTTTCAAAAAATTAAGCGAGCATTTTCGAAATTAGGAATTTAAATTTACCGCGAATGGGGTGATATTCAAATTTCAAATTAGGTGTAATCCTATGAAATATCTTCCAAAACTTGTTATGGAAATAAATGCCACCGTGCTTGAGATTTGCCAGCTGAATCTTCCCAGTTCGTCGAATCAAATGTTCAAAAACCTTGATTGAATATGTCTGGAACTTCTTAGCCAAACGGGAACCTCGAGATGTATTACGATCATGTACATGTACATTGAAGCAATGTCTTAGTTAGTATTTTTTTAAAATATTTTTTTTTAGCTCTCTTTTCGGCTCACTTTAAGTTAGGTTTTTAACAGCTCGTTATTCCAGTGATATTTCCGGGGCAAATTTGAAGTTTCCATCATGCTGAAACACAGCTATAATACCGGAAAAAACTTGTTCTCCTGATTTTTTCTTCGAACAAAATGGGAGGAAAAGATTTGGGTCCAGTGATTCAATAATATCCTGACAACAGGAAATCAAGATATTTTCAAGTCATGGTGGAGAGTATAGATGCACGATTTTCGGTACACCGTACACGACACTTCAATGTAGCATACTTCGAGTGGTGGATAACACGTGAGGGTTAAATAACAGTTCTGTACTTGTCTGCAAGATGAGAAATACGGATGTCGCTTCCAAGGCATTCTGTCGCGAAATTCTTGTCATCAACTCTGGAAATATGCTTCGTAACAACGGAGTGGAAGGAAGCTCAAATTTTTTAGTCATCAATAATTCATGTTCATCCATCAGAATTCTAGATACTATATATTGGAGCAATACAACACTCAAACACATCACCGACGATGCCAAAAACTTGCTTTTTCCAACGGTGAAGGAGTAGGTAACGGGGTGACAATGTATCCCAAAATTCCCTATTAAGGCTGTAATATACCAAGGCAGATTCTTTTCTTGGCGCATAAGAAGGTAGTATTTTTGAAACTACAGTATATAAGCACGGCAAATACGAACAGTAGCGTACGATCGAGAAGTACTTCAGTTGAAGTTCATCGGGCGAGGCGTTTATATAAGACGAGGGTCCACATTAAACACTACGGTAGTAATAACTGTTCAAGATAAAGTTATCATCACGAAAATTCTTACGATACAAGCCCACTGTATTCTTCAGGTACATATATATCCACCAGCCCCTGTTCTCGTCTGAAAACCTCGCGACCAGCATACGTACAGCGAAGAATTCCCAATGAAAGTAAAGCTACTTTCAAGCCAAGTATACACGCTATTTTTTACGTCATTCGCATAGGCAATTACCATCTCATCTTCACTCGCGAAGATGAAAGAGGTACTGACGAAAAATATCTTTGTATACCTTGTTAAAAGCTTCGCCGTTGAAGCCCGGGAAGGCAGGCTTGTTATTGTTCCCGAACTGACCCATGCCGAACGGGTCATCGTGCCCACGTGGGGCAAAGGGGTTGTGCCGATCCCCGAGCGCCGCCGTTGAAGCGGCGTGATGCATGTTCGGGGCGGTGTTCGTCATCGCCGCCGGTGACGAGAACATGTCGGAAAGCAGGCCGCTTGAGCTAGCAGACTGACGCACGGGCAACGGGGGCGGGTTCTTTCCCGGCGGCGGACTCACTGCAACGCGTGTGCAATAACAGACAGAGTTCACATACAAATCCCCGCAGAGAGGAACAATCATCAAGAATGATAACACATAATAACCACATTGTTGCTCAGACACAGATAATTCTTCGCAGGAGCAACAGAGATATGAGCTAGGTACCCCAACATTAAATGGTTCAACTTAATTTCTCCACCTTCCCAATCAATGAATGCAATAAGGGCCTATTTCTAAATGCCAAATACAACAGAACCTTTCAAGTCCAAGTCCAAGCAACCAAACAAAAATTAATCTACCATTTTCCTTAAAAAGAATTAGAGGAAGTTTAAATTAGTTATTTTTAGCTTAAACTTTCCTTGTTAAATAGTTGAAAGAGTACTTCAATTGAAGGCAAGGGATCATTTGTCCAATTATTCTTTCACTCACTTTCAGAAAACATCAAGTTACATTTTTATTGCTTTTCTCTTTCTTGGGCCTCAAAAGTAATCACCATAATGCCTTCAGAAAATTGTAGTCAAGAGGCTTGAGGGGGAAAGCCTTAGCCTTGAGTACCTGGGAAGCTTTGAATCCTGTACATTGTTTCTGTGGGCATTCTGACAGGGACTTGACAAATTTGACAAAGGGAGTACATCTGTTAACTGTACTATTATTGCTTTCAATTATACCAACTTCCATTATTTTACTGTAGAGTTATTATCTTTTTTTTCGTGAAGGGCTTTCTACAGGAAGAACCCTGCTGAAATACTGTACTGCACTGTTGTTGGCAAATAAGTTCATGATGTAAAACCATGGTATATATGCACTCAAACGTCCTTCAAAACGTAATGCACTTACAGAACTTCTTCCAAACTATAAAAATACTAACGTTTCAAAGCAGCGATCGCAGGATGTCCATTGGCCATTGGCGGCGTCCCGTTGCTTTTGCTGGTAACAGCAGGCGGCGGAGACTCGAGTTCCTCCAGTTCTTTCCAGTTGAGATTGTCAACGATGCTCGGGCCTGGCACCGCCGGCGGGGCGCCGTCGAAACTCGCGTCAATCTCACCCAATAAATCGCCGGTCGTCGGTGACGGGGCCGCGTTCGTTCGCGGCGGCACTGGCGGCGGCGGCGAAGACATAGTCAGTGCATCCAATCCGTGTCCGTCGTCCGACGAATCTTCCCTCGACAGTGTCGACAGTGCCGGTACGTCTGTGGAACAACAACCACAAAAAAGGAAAAGTGAAAGGACCGTCCAATTAAAATACGTCGTTCAGTACATTTTCATTCTTCACACGGTGTTCTCCGAGTGTCACCGATTTTGGCTCTCGAAATGGACCGCCATTTTTCATGTTACAAAATACAAATTATGTAGATGATGTGGCAGACTGCACAATTTCCGAGGAACATGAAATCAATTTAAATTTTCCAACAGCAGCAATATATAGTTGTTCTACAAGAAATATACCAACACAAAAAGACTTCAGAAAAAATTATCTTTTCAGTCACCAATTCGAAGACTTGTTAAGAAATTGCCGAAGGTTTTGAAATACATGAATACTGAATTTAGGTTAATTCGGGGAATGCGCTGAACATTGCTTAAGAGTAATAAATTTCAAAATGGATCAGAAATTGATTCGAAAAGAAACAAGAAAAACGTGAAGAAATCAATCGCTTCTCAGTGAGCTACTGAATACATTAGAAGCGTACTTCTCAACGGAAAATTATCAAAGAAAACATTTCGAACAGGACAGAAGTATAAAAAAAGATACAATACTCTCAAATAAGATAATGTATTCAGGAATTATAATGCACCTCTCATTTCCAGAACTAAAGCGCCGATTCCGGGGAACTGCCAACGCTTCATTTAATTTCAAATGAAGAATATGATCCTCGAATCGCTGAACCAATTTTCCCGCGCTTCATATGATTCACGAAGAATCGAACACTTCAACATTCAAAATCTACAACACTTTTCTGAAGCCTTTCTCCACTTATACAGAAGGAGGCCAAATTACTCTCTCGACATTTTGGAGAAGAAATTCTTCCATTTGCCTTTCGATGGGATCTCCATTTATATGCAAAGGTTTCGGAAAAACTCGAAAGCAGTAATTTCACATCGGTTTCCCCGAAAATCTCCCGAGAGAGCTCAAGTCATAAAAATTCAAAATTACCCACCGAAGTCTGAAATGAGATTCACGACTCGCTTCGAATCGCTGCCATCGCCATTCGCCAAATTCTTAAGATTCTCTTCTGGAATATTCAGCTCGAGAACATCCGAAATCTGAAACATAAAAATAGTATAAGCCATTTCCTGAATAAAATAAACCACGAACATAAGCGAGAGCTTTGAAAGCAGGGATTCAAATATCCACTCGATATGATTCACAACGTAGAGCGCATGAGGAAGTACAGTATACGAGGGAAATTATGACACAGCACGCTTTGCTGGTTCATGAAATTTTCCTGAATAGCGGAATTTTAAATTCGTGCTTCAAAATTACGAGAAATGTTTTAAAATACTGCACTGCAGTTCTTCTAATCGTCACGATTTCCATTTCGATTCCTGCGTGAATCATCAAACCTAAAATTGAACTTGCAACCCATAATTATTATTCAAAAGCATCACTGAAGACGGTCAGAATAAATCTTTGACACTTGATCAGACTTGATACCTCGCACGAAATAACGAATCATCATTTTCATGACCTACGATGAGCAAAATTGGGAGGGAATAACATCCAAAAAAATATGCGAAAGGCATGAAATTATGCACGATCTTTTCGTAAAATTCCGATGCCCTCCTTTCGCTTAAAATGATGGGTCGAAACAATTTTAAAAATCAGACAGCGCGGTCAATCAGACTTCCCCATTTCTTTGTGAATGCTCTTGCATGAACTTAAATTCGAATTTTCCTTTTTGTTTTCAAGGCTATATAATAGCTTTCAACGGTTCAAAGATATAAATATATTTAAATTATCAGTCGACTAGCTGTACTTAGCCGGATAAAACCGGTGACTTGTGAGACTCGATTGCGAAGTTTCGTGCACACGACACGTTCATGCTGTTGGCTTCAGAGGATCAATCTTCGACCTTTTACAGTGCTATAAAATTTGATTGGAAACGCAAGCGTTCGATCAACCAGCATGAGGCAAACATATGACCAACGAAAGTCGAGTGACACGAAAATAAATCTAAACCACAAAAATGCCGACACGGTGACTACACTAAGAAAATTTTCCTCCTTAGAATACATTTCAACTTTGATGAATCGAATCTCCCCATGTCAAATTTGTTTCAAGTCCCTGTGTGAATATTATCAGAAACTATGAATTAAAAGCCTCAAACCACCATAAATCGAATCTTAAGGAGGCTTTCGGCTATTACCGTACTTTATTGGCAAAGGAAAGAGAAAAGCAATAAAAAATTCAGCTTGATGTGTTTTGAAAGTAAGTGACAGACCAATTGGACAAATGATCACATGCCTCCAAGTTCAGTAGCCTGTCAACTTTTTCAAGAAGCAATTCAGGGCCCAGAATATTACCAATTACGATTTCCTATATACAGTATAGTATTCTACTTTCCTTCTCTTCAACACAAATTCTGATTCTTCCATCTCTAAATTTTTAAAACTCAAATCGCGCCTCTGATGTTCGACTTAAGAAGTTCAACGGTACTGTACAATAGTACTCCGCATAATGGACGCCTCGCATAATGGATTCATTCCCCGAAAAATCTATTCTCGAATATTAAACCCAGCTTCGGATCAAGCCCTTGAGAAAACCAGGATTGAAAGCTGTTATGAGGCCGCCGCTCGTGTTTTTAAAATCGAATAAAAATCGTTGTCTTCACTTCATTGATAGTGCTCAGTATTTTGTTTCTTCGTTCCCTGCCAATTTATTTATTCAGGGATTTATGAAAGATATTTCCAAGAAATCCGGAACAGATCATATCCAAGTAAGGTATTTCGCAGAGCTTTGGATTCCTCAGTTCGAGTGAAATTTTAAGCACGCGCTGTATCCAATTATAGCCATGGAATGAATCTTTACATTATACTCAGTTGATGGACTTTCAGGACAATCGGCCTCCATGAAAAAAAAAAAAAAAAAAGGTTCAGTCCACTAACCGAGGCATATAACCTCACCCCACTGAAAAAGGGGAAATTTAACCAGCAAGAACAACAACAATTTAAAAATAAAAACCAACTCGAGAGAAAGGAGAAAGACGCATCAGAGACGAGGAATAGGAATGAAAGACGGAAAGAGAAGAGAAGAGAAGAGCAGCGTGCCTGCTTCTGCCGAAGGAACTTGTCGAGGTCTTGCGGGGCGAGCATGGCGGCCAGGTCGCGGAGCCGAGACTTGAGCTCCATGACCTCGGCCTCCGCCATCTTGGCCCGCTTCTCCACCAAAAGCGTCTGTTTCCGGGCTTCCAGGTCCTTGCCCTGGCTGTCGAGGAACCGTCGGTAGGCCAGATCGAACGCCTGTCCGATCGTCAGAGTGATCTCTTCCGCCTGCGCGTCGAAAACAATCAAACGAGAAGAAGAATAAGATGGTGATGATGAAAAGAAACCGTTCGGAACACTTTACAATCACACATGACGCCTGACGCATTCAACACCTGGCGTCTATATATATTCCGTGATCACAAAGAGAATTCTTCAAGTCCCTGTTCAACGAGTTCAACGAGAAGACGCTTCAATGACATGTGATACAGAAAGGGCGATAACAAATAAAATCACGAAGCCGTATAATTCAAAGGATTCTCTCAATTCGCATTTCAGTCGGGAGGAGATGCTGTTTTTTTTTTCTTCAACACACAAGTGCATCAGAAATCACGTAACCACTCACAAATCATTTCATGCCTTCCAAGAAAAGTTCGTCTTCCAAAGGAATATTACAATGATGGTATGATTACGATCTGACATACAGTATAGTTCCAGAAAACCACTTTATGGATACAAGAGAAAATACAACAGTGCCAGCAACAGATTGAAGATTTGTCACGCTTATATTTTAAATACAACACGGATGAAACACGTTCAAGATCCCGTTTTCAAAAAATCGGCGATATTGGAGATAGTGACCAGAAGATAATCCATACCTGTCAAACAACAGCTTGCAACCGCTCCTTTATATAACTCACGACAGCAAGGAAGTTGCGCTCCAAAATCATCTCATTTCCTAAACCACTTTTCAATAAAATTAAATTAACCTGTCGTTGAGAAAGTAGGTAAGATTTATTGGAACACCTCCTCCGCCATGAAGATTTAGTTCAGGATACTCGAAGATGTGGATTCCATAAAAAAAATTGGCACGATTACGAGGGCAAATGTTAAAAAAAAGAGAAAGTTCAGCTTTCAGTTCAAGAAGGTCCATTTTGAGGAGCCATGAAATAGCGAAAGTCTTGAGCATGTTGTACGGAGGTAAATACAAAATTTCGCTCATCGAGGTCTTCCTCTAAATCTTAATGGTTCTCTCTCAGTATCAAAAATCTTTTCTATTGAAATATCCGTTAAAGCATAAATTCCGTTTATTCGATCATGAAGTTGCACCATTCTGAGAGCGTGTGCTCTTTCCCCCAAAGATTACAGACTGCACCTAAAAAAAAAAGTCCCCTCGCATGGATTCGAAAGGTTTTCTCAAAACCCAAACGTCGTGAACCCGAAATCACGGGTCAACTCACCAGTTTATCAGACACGAAAACGAAGCACATGTGTCTTCCTTCTTCAGCCTCCTTGGCAATGAAGCTAAAGAACCGCTTCTCCAACTTGTCGTCGGCACAATACGAAATCCGGTGCAAGGGATACTTGTGCATCACCGTCTGCAATAATAAAAAAAAATTTATATAAAAAGTTGTGAACGGAAAACTGAATCTTCTGAAAACATTTTATCGTTGAAAATCATTTAAAGCGTAGCAGGGAAGACAGCGGTTTTTCGTCCTTGGGCTTTATATACGTAAAAACATACATAAGTGTAGGCATAATATCCGAGAATAATCCAAATTATGAATCAAATACAATATGCTGATTACGTTATTCGGCTCGGGAATTGATTTCCGAATCACAGCTCAGTCGAGAAAAATGTACAACAGTAGGAAGAGAAAGAATTAAAAAAAGTATTCAGATGAAAAGGTCAGCTGAAATCCTCGCAAAACCACCCGATTCGGCACAAGGCTGAACAGAAAATTAAGCAAAACCCACAGTTTGACCCCGAATGTTTCATGTCTATAGGAAAATGCTTATATAATAAAAGGGCAATTTATTTTGTCCATGAACTACTGTATAATTAAAAATTTATAAAGGTTAGAATTTTAGTTGCTCGAATATAGTACCAAAAAAATTCGAATACCACAAAACCATCGAGTAAGACGCAGACCTCGATTTCGTTTAGCAGACGTGTTCGCACAATAACCTGGAAGTTTCGCCGGCCGAAAATTTACACGTTCCTGTCTTCTGAATGTCAATTAAAAGCAAAAGGAAATGAAGTATACATATAATAAACTAATGTAAATACAATTATTTAATATCCATATACAATACTTGTCTTCGATATTTTTTTTATCACGAAAGATAATTTTTTCGACATTTTTCCAGAAAGATACTATTCCTCGCGAAGAATGCAATGTTGCTAACGATGCTTTCGCCTGAAACTAACCTAGGAAATTTTTACAACGCGAAAGCTAGAACTTTTATGTTTTAAACAGCATTCCTTCCCCTCTTCTTGCCCCCAAAAAGCAGATTATGAACATAAAATACTGCATAAGAATAACCACGATCAAGCCGAAAAAGAGAAAAACGGATTAATCAAATGGGTCAAGTACAGTATTATCTTCTTGATTGTTTCAGCGCAGCAATGTTGTTCTGATTTCCCACCCGACTTGGGCCAGTTTCTTAGCCATGATCTCAACCAGAGGTCGCACCCTTCTCGTCTTCGCACCTTATCTTCAAATACATCGCGTCTAGTCCACGGATTTGCTTCTTTCGTGAATATTCGAGGTGATGCGGCCAAACCAAAATTCAATACTGTACTATACACTAATTCACCAGAATGATCAAATTTTCCGCATGTCTTGAATGCTTAGAATATTCTGAAGCTCTCGTCAGACGTCGCGTCATCGGCAACAATATTAAAAAAAAAAAAACCTGAAATGACGCAATGCGGCATTCTAATCCATGGGAGGACAACAACACTATTTGAGAGCAAGTCGCCTAGAAAAAAATAAGTAACGAATAAACAATATAAAAAAAGGACGTTCACCTTGGTCTTCGGGTCTTGTATGGTGACTCCGTCAATGGACACGGTGAGCTCGACTTTGTTGGGCTTTGCGCCCTCGGCTTTCTTCAGCTGCTGGTTGAACTTGAGTTTTCGGATGCCTTCGCGGATCACGTCCGTGCCTTTGGGCTGTTCCACCTCCGTGCACCCGAGAAACTGGTTGACAAATGGTAAAGAAGGGATACAAATAAAATAAAAAATTAGGTTAACAATTCTCACACGCAGTCACATGCTGAAAAAAGTCTCCGGAAGCCGCAGAGACACATATGACTCATGATTCAAACTCTTGATGGCCTTTCGTCAAATTTTTTTTTTCGTCAAATTTTTTTTCAATGATAGGGAGCCAATTTTATTTTTAAATGCTTTGGTCATCATCTCATGTGAATAAAAAATAATATTGATCTGACACTGCAGAACACAACATCATTCCGCAAATCCCCAAGCGTTGATTATCGCTTCGGCACGTTTTAGATTAATTGATATACAGTAATATTGTAATTGGGGCCTGTCACGCCATTCTTCAGTGCTCCTCATCGAAGCGAAAGTATAAAAAGTATTGAACGCTAAAAAACTTGGAAAAACACATTTTTATGCAGTACTTCAAAAGCACGCGAACTCGTGAGAAAATTCGAACTATTAAAAATCTAAAAATGAACTAAAAAGGCATTTACATAAGAAACCGCGGTTCTCTCACAGATGGAACTTCAAAGGCCAATCCCATGCAAACAAATTTTCCCCTTGATCGATTATTTTTCAAGACCCGGCAGAAATTGAAAGGACTTGATGTTGGTTGAACATGAATTTATAACAATTGTATAATCGAAGTACTACTGTACAACAAGCTTGATTTTCGGGGATATTTTCTAATTCCTTTGCTCCGAAATATCTAGAACACCTCAGACAGACACAGCTGAAAATTTCGTCAGTTATATCGGAAATAATTTTGAATTAAAAATTAGTCGTACTGACAGGGGAAAAAAAAGCAAATACAGTACATTACTATACTGCATTTTACATGTTAAAAAATATTTAACCCTTGAGTCGTTTTCGCGACCTCGATGAGACGCCGTAGTTGTGCAGAGAAAATCATTCGAAAATTATCCTTCGGACCAGATGCAAAAAAAAAATGTCTCGAGGGCAAACGCATGCTAATTTGACCAAGAGGAGGCAAAAACCAACTCTCATTTTCAGCCATGCCCAGGTGCCCAATTTCTCCTCGACTTCCAAAGCGAATTTATGCGGTTTAGTTCGATTACGAAACCGAATGGTCACGCTTTCGCACAGAAAACCATTCAAAACTTGAAAAACGTACGTGGAAGAATTTTGCAATACAGTACCTGAACCAATGAAAACTTGGGTCAAGGTACGGTTTTGAAAAAAAAAACGAATCACACAAAACGGGTAAATTTGGCAGCAACTAACAAGAAATTAAAAACAAACCAACATTCTACAGTACTGTGGAACAGTAATAAAACATTTTAACGCATGGTTGATGCACAAAATCTGAGGTACAGTAATTAATTAGGTACAGGTACGAAAGGTAAAATACATTTCGCACAGCTATTCATGTCGGAAAAAAAATTTTGAAACGCTGCTCTGAGTGGAATAATATTAGTCTGGTAAGTAATAGGTGTTCTTACCAACAGAAGTTCGACATTTCCACTCAAGTGGAATATTTTCCATTAAAACGTGTGCAAAATAATGTAAAAAACACGAAGAAATATAAAATTCGTAGAATAACCTTACGCTTCAATCCCTGAATGACGGAAAAATTAAAAAGGAGCTGATCAAAGCCATGCTAATTTTATAAAAAAAATGTAAAAGAGAAAATTACACCTGAAAGTCTTCGTTATGCCATCCTTGCAACACATTCTGATTAGTTTCATTATAATAAGGAGATATCTACACCTTGATAGGCAAAAGTTCGGCAATAGCTCGAAAAAATTCTGTGGAATTCAGCCTAAAAAAAACTTATTTTTACTGCTTCCATAGATAAAACTAAAAATTTGCGTCCTGGATAAACCCCCCCCCCCCCCCACTGTAAATCAACTTTCGGAAGAACCAACCGAAAAACAATCCCGCCAAAAATGAAAAAAAAAAGAATTTCGTATTGACTCAAATGCATTCGGGACACAGCCATAGCTCGCAAAAACAACCTCGAAATGGCTTTCTCAACGTGGATAATTTTGCCGAGACGACCTTTCCCCTGGGGGGGGGGGGGGTTAGACTTGATACAAAAAATAAATAATAATGCAACCTCATAAATTAGATCACGGGATCACTGAAAGTTCTGTGGAAGAAAGCGACACCATCCCGCGCTTGGTTCCGAAACGGATTCGGAACAGGTGCTGTGCTCCATATTTTATGCAATTTGAATCGATTTATGAAGCGAACGACCTTCCGAAAGAACCTGCGTTCGCAATTTATTATTCATTATTTTCTTTCACAAAAAAAATATTTGCACTGCAGCTGACAAATGATGGTACAAGCAATTCATCAAAATTTCACAGAAAAACACACACGTGACGTGATATCGAATGGTCGAAATCCAACTGAATCAAGGTACTGTATTTTACAACATTTTCAAGAGATCCGTTCCTGTGTAAAACCTACAGAATACAGCGAACAAAGCTTGAATTCATTACTATTTTTGCTAAGAACGAAACGTCGTATTTTCTCCGAAATTCGACGCATTCAGAAGACAAATAGCGAACAAAAGTTGGTAACTAAAAGGCATAATATTTTCGTGAGCTCAGAAATAAATTTTAGCCAAGAATGTTGAAATTAATTTCGAATGAGGGACTGCCTGACTCGTATTTCTCAATGAAAGCATGTCGATATTCATTTTACTAATGAATATCGACAGACGCTAGACGAATTGGATAAAAATTTATTTATAATTCTTGCGATACTACAGTTCGAAGGAATAGTCCCTACAGGTCAGGAGACGCAAAACGATAAATCGATTAACTTTTCCAATCCATCTTGTACGTGAATACGTTGAACTTTTCACATTCAATAAATTAACAATCAAATATCAGTTATTTTCCATGAAAAAAACCACGATAAGATATTCTCAATGTACCGTAACTTTCTTTAAAGGGCTCCACCAGGACACATTTTTCGAAAAATTCAAAAAAATACGAATTTGTAAAAACAGACGAAGCATAGAAGCACCATTATCGATATCGTCCATGGCTGAAGCGACAAAGAAACTTCAATTTCCTCAGCTGTTGTAAAAAAGAACCCGCGTTTAAAAAAAATAAGAAAAGCACATCGATTTTATCTCCCCCCCATTTTCACGCAACAGCCGTCAATTTCTATCTTTTCGTTTATTTCGACGATGGCGCGCGGAAAATTCTTGACATCTCGTGACCCAACCCGGCCATAAAAACGTGACCTCACCTTGACCAGGTAGACGACGTGGTTACTCTGGAGCGCCTCTGGCGAATGAATCCACGTCTTACTGCCTGTTGACGACACATTAAAAAAAAGTAATAAAATTAAACAACCAGATCAGAAATGATCAAGATTCCACAGATTACATAACTATCGCGTCACGAAAGTGATTTGGACAATAACTAGATTCACGACGCATCAAAAACATTAAATTACGTGAGAAAATGGTGTATAATGGAAGAATACGCAGGACCTTGTTTCTTTGCAGTATTTCATCAAGAAAAATATTAACGCCAAAATAATTTAAATAAAGAAAATTTAGCTTCCTGAATACAGGATTGGATGCTGAATTTTTTTTCCTTTTTTTTAATGCTCATCGCGGAATCAGAAATTCAATGCCCACTACAAAAAATGGAAATCGACTGCTCAGGCCGCTTTGTTTCATTTAAAAAACCAACTTCTAAAAATGTCGCCTGATTTTATTTAGATTTCGTAAACATATTTGAAGAAAGATTATTTTACGTTAACCAAGTTTTATTCCGCTTAGTGTAAGAGACGTTTATAGGATAGTTCCATTTGGGTCACATGATTTCGTTGAAATTATGAATTCAGTCACCTCTTAAATTTAGCATTCCAGAAAGCAAGTTCCGGTTTTGAAGTGAATAACCCAGCAATTTGAAGAAATACTCCCAAAATTTTATCAGAGGAAGACGGAAAAATAAATGCAAATATTTTAGGCATAAGACGTAAATCTAAAGAATTACCCGAGATCACAAAAACCTCGAGGAAACAAGACATTGAATACATAAAAAAATAACTCACCATTCTGCTGCTTATTGCTGCCGAGTTTGGCAGTTTTGTGCAGAACGTTGAGCAGTGCGGAATTCTTCATCCTGGCTTCGCTTTTCAGCAATGCGACGGTAGCAAAAATTATTCACACACGAGTCCTTTGCTTAAAATAACACACACACACACACACGCGACTGCTGATCCACTCAAATTCCGGTCGTTTATTAAAAAAGTTTTCTATCTGCTTTTTTCTTCTTTGCAGCAGTCTCAGCAGTACATGGCACGAGGAAGGGCAGACGCGGGAAAAAGTGGCCGAAGTTTTTCTATTTATATCACAAAGTCTGGAAACAATGAAATCAAAAAATTTTTAGACATTCCGAAAAATCCATCATCAACCAAAAAAAAAAACTAACACTAACACTCGACTGTCACAGCAATCAAACACTTGGAAATCTATACATCACTCGTCTATGTGCCGTTTTGTTTTAAACGCAAGTTTTCACCAAAAGAATTCTCGTTTAAATAAGTTCTTGATTTAAAAAATTCTAATATCCGCATCGCCGAATTATAAAAGCTTTTTCGACAACAAATTTGCTTTTTAACATTCTTGTCACACAAGAATACCAAGAACAAGATTCCGCGAACAACTAGGAATTTCAGATCACACACCGGCCTTGGAAAAATAACCAGTGCGGAAAAATTTGCCTCACAAAAATAATTTCCGGAGAAAGGAGGATATTCATATTATTTTTCAAACACAAAATACCAGAAAAATATCAATAGGGTCGCGAGGAAAATTAAATAAACCCGGAATAAATTTCAAAATTAAGTTCCCAATGCATCGGACAACCTCATCTACAATGATGGTGTACAAGCAATTCATCAAAGTTTCATAGAAAAACGTACACGTGACGTGGCGTCAAATGGTCGACATCCAACTGAATCTAAGTAATTTACGACATTTTCAAGAGATCCGTTCCTGTGTAAAACCTTAATAAAACAGCAAACAAAGCTTGAATTCATTACTACTTCTGCCAAGAACGAAATATCGTATTTTCTAAAAAATTCGACGCATTCAGAAGATAATAGCGAGCAAAAGTTGGCAACCATAGGCATAATATTTATGAGCTCAGAAATTAATTTTAACAAAGAAAACCGAAACGAATTTCAAATGAGGGACTGCCTGACTCGTATAGAAGAGACAAATCTCTCCTATAATTTCACATCGAATATGGATCAAGGACAGAAAAGGACAGCACGAAACACCGGTCAATTTAATTGGCAATCTAATTTCAACACACGCGGCGATCCAAGGAATTGCAAGAATTGCGTCATAACCGCGACGAAAAACGCGGAAGCCTTTCGAAAAAATGGCCCAGCCATTATTTTATTCCCAAAAAAGGCACTCGGAGTTTAGAAACACGTCAAAAACGTGTAGGTCTTCGGAATTTTTCAACGAAGACAAACGAGTCTTTCACTCAAGGAAATATCATACCTTCAGTGACCAAGTTATGCAATTTATAGGACTTGGCTGATCAAGTTCGTTAAATAATACGAGTAAAATTCCGTAACCCCGAATACAAACAAAATATCCACTTGAGGAAATGCTTCCGAATATTGACAGAAATTGTGAAGGTTACATGCCTTAAAATTCTCACAAACTTCAGTTTAAGCTAAGTTGATTTTTAGGAAAATTCCAAGCATTAATCTTGAATGATTCAACATCAGCTCTCAATTCTTATTTCCCCCTTTCATTTCTGTTTATTTATTGGCCAACGTGGGCATTAAAACCCCATCCCGGACAAAATCATCCGAGGTCTGAATGAATAATTGACTCATGCACGGTAGTTGAGAAGAACCTGAATTAATATTGAAAAAAAATGAGGGGACTTTCACTGCCAATTGACACGTTTGTCACACAGTTGAGAAATGGCCGAGGGTAAAGAGATTTTTCCCTTTCAATATACTGTGCATCACTTTTCTCGAATAATTGAGAGAATTATTACAAGCAAGTTAAAAGGAATTTTCACCAGCAACATAAATACAATATTTCCTCGCATAGTCGAGTGAATTTCAGCGGACTCTCTTTCTAATAAAATGCACAGGGAATTAGAAAAATATCCGGAGTACAGACAATTTCGTTGTAATGAACCTTCATTTACTGGGCAAAGAACCCTATATGGGACAAAAAAATCGTCATACAGATAAATTAATTTCAGACAAAATTGTTGATTTAACTGCATTATTGGAAAATAAAGGAAAATAATGGAAAATAAATAAATTGGAAACACAAGCAACAGCCATGTTCTTTCGCATAGTCGAGAAGTGGCTGAATTATCTTTTAAAAAAGAAAATCAAAGGATTTTCACAGGCAATATAGACATGCTTTCATCAGTAATCAAACAGAAGAAAGTCGCAACATAATGCTGTGGATTACAGTACTGGGGTTGGTTTGTCAGTCAGAACAGCACCATAACACTGACCTTCGCTTCAGTCCGATAATTATATCCTCGAATAAGGAGCACCAGCACGGAGAAGGAATAAAAAATTCAACGGAATTTCACACACGCCCAGATTCCTCGCAGCCCCAATTATCACTGCAAGATTCCAATACTTCTCTTCTCAAGGTCGAGATAATCTATAGATAATGACCGTGAAAAGACTAGCTTCAATCAATAAGACGATCCACATGACACGGGAGAAATCGGTATTTAAAATTAAAAAAAAAAGCTGCAGGTCTTGGTAAATTTTTCTAGTTTATTCCGAGAGTCCGAGGGCATTGTCACACAACACAGAGAAAGAGGCGTTGCCCTCAAGCGATCAACATTCTCTTTGTTTTTATAGATGACAGAAAAATATATACCCAAGAAAAGATCACGATTTCATGTCTAGCTTTTAAAAAAAAAGCTCCAAGCGTGACGAAAGAAAGGAAGAAAAAAAGAGAACTACATTATCTTCAACATCTCTCGCAGTCCGAAAACGTCCAAGAACGCAGGGAAAAGGTGAATTTTTAAAATCCTTTTTCCATATGCTGTACAAGCGTACAGTATTTCTATGTTACGACATAAATTATTATTACCGTATTTCCACAATATTTGCAATAATTTTCGCAGATCACACAAACAACACACGCGAGAAAGTACAGGTGGACTCTCTCTACAACGATTTTCCCTGTATAATGAATTCTTTTTATCCCATACGGGAACTTTATCCATGTTATAAGGTTCTTTACAAAGAAATTCTCGCTACAATGAATATCTCTTGAATTTTGCTGCAGAGAGAGTCCACCAGTAGTAAACAAACAAGAGGAAGAACCAGATGCCCGAACATTAATATGAACAATTAACGCAGAAAATACGGTTAAAATAAATCATATTTCAGACCCAACCCTATTTTAGATTATTTCTGACTCGTTCCACAAAAAAAAGCTCAAAGTCAAGAATTGAATTTTACCATTGATTCATTTAACTTAATTTTACGAAAAACATTGTTCATCATCTCTCGTGAACGAGAGTCAGCAGGATAAAATAAAATACAGAAGACATGAAAATCTTGCAACAACATAAAAGCTTGCGACTTTCTCCTTGCGACATTAGAGCTGTTTTTGCACTCATTTCCATTTTGTGCATATCTACTGAATGGATACTTGGTACTGTATTTCAGCATTATCCAACAAACCAGGACACGTGAATTCCGAATAACAAAATCCTCTGGCAACCAGAACCCCGCGAAATTTCCACATTTCGAACTCATCACCGGCATTCCCAAGAGGAATTTTGAATTTGTAGCATTTTCAAGCGATTCAAATCAGAAGAAAGCCTAGAACCAGAACGAAACGGCTCTCTCTTTCCGGAACATCTGATGCTGCTTCGATAATAATACCCTTGCATCGCACTTTTCATCATACAAACGCTGCAATATTTCACGAGAATAATTTTCTTTTTTTTTATGAGAATCCGAGTGGCGTGAAACGTTAAGGAAGCGATTTTTTCCTCCTGCATCACTACCAACGTCCAAAAATGTAATTTTTTAAAAACCTAAAGATCTCACGAGCTCGAAATAAAAGAAACGCGGAGATTTCTGAACTTTCACGTCCGATCCGTAAATCGAAATACATGAAAGGAAAGTCAGAAGTTGATGACGTCATACATGAAATCAAAACATGATGACGCAATACGTGAAATCCCAACAAGAATTTCCTAAATTTTCCATCGGAACTCACGCGACCTTCCACAATGAATAACTGAAATCCTCGGGGAAAAAAAAGCGACTTGAAGGGGACGAACATTTCAACAGAGAACTGGCATCCGTTTCATGATTGACGCATGCAACAAGTATGTGGTTCTCTGACGAAATCAGACCACGGTTGAACAGAAATAGGGCAGGAGAAAAGAAATTGAAGTTCATAGCCGCAGGTTCTTTAATAAATTTCATGAAGATTTCCCGCCCTCGATCTTTTGTTAGGATTCTCTAATCTCGAATCAAGATATGGAAAATATATATTTTCCAAAAACATTTGTATTTCATTTGGAAAATATACATTTTCCAAAAAATATGTTTTTTTTCTCATATAAAAACCATCTCCGAGAACTGATCGAAGTTGACCTAGAACAGAGCAGCGAGGAAATAAATCACGATTAAATCTAAAAATTTTCTCTACACTTTCGAGTTTCTCCATTTGAAAACCAGACGAAAGCGTGAAACTTGATCCAAAACTGTATTTTAAATTGACCATGGATTTAAAATGCTTTCAAAATTGTTGAGCCAAAATTCAGCGATTTTTCTCTGAAATCCAAGGGTAAAATTGAAATTCAATTCAATTGAAATTGGAGAAACATAAGAAAATAATTTCAGAATGAATACAATATTATCTTTCAAACCTTTAAATACTTCCACAATACGGGAATTTACTCGTACTTTTTGTCCCAAAACCTTGATTCAAGGCAATAATGACGCAATATCAGCTCATAAAAACTCTGGAATCCGTCCATTTTCAAATCGGAAAATATCGATAATTTGTGGGAATTTTACTAATTGAAGCCCAAAATTATGTACAGTACTGTAGTTCACACCCAAGTTACCTTTCAAATCATACGATACTTCAAAAATATGATACATTTTTGTTGTTGATCTGAACACCGATTCAAAAAATTAATTACGAAAAATCATATAAGAATCTACAGTATTTTAAAACGCTGGGCAAAATATCTGTCTATTTAAAAATAAGAAATCATCGATAATTTGTCGTAATCCAACACCAATTGAAAGTTGAAAGAAGACGAAGATTACACCAAGTTATCTTCCAAATGTTACGAATTACGGGCATTAATTTCTTGGAATATAACTCGATTCAAGCCTTTAATAAA